AATCATAGATTTATAAAGCCTATATCGTAAAATTCTAAACCCTAAAAAATGTTTTGACCCTAAAACCCCCTAAACCCTCATAACTAAACCCTAATAGAACATAATTAACTCAAATATAAATAATTTAAAGAAACAATAATTTTGAAAAAGTGGCATTTTTGTAAAGATTTCAAAAGTGTGGCATTTTTGTATAGTGGCATTTGAAAAGTAGCATTCTTTGAAATTTGTCAAAAATAAAAGATATATATTTTTATTTAAGAAGTATATTTCAACTAAAGTTAGTATCTACCTATTTTTACTATAAATATACTCGTCAACTATATTCAAAAGTAAAAAAATATAAATATATGTTATAAATCTACCATATTATTTGTATATAGAAGTAATATACGGATCAGATCGGATATTGAGATTTTTAAAATTAGAATGTGTGATTTGTTTCGGTTTAGACGGATACTAAATTTTACTATTTATTTCGTTTTGATTCAAAACAGATATTCGAATTTTTCAGATCAGATCAAAATGAATAGTGAATCATATCAAATTTAACGGATAATTTGTCCGGTCGTACCGTTTACAATTGATTTAATATTTAGGGTTTGTTGAAGAAACAAATATGATAAATATAGCCTAGATAAGTTATTTTTTAGGTTGGAAAATAAATATTTTATTTTATTTTGTTTCATAAATGACAGATCAAAAAATTCTCCATGGAATTACTAAAACGAAGCTCCGAGGTATGGCTAAGAGAGCTTCTCTCAAACCTAGACAAGTTCTGGTCAACAATCGAAACCGACGTTTCCAAAAACGACGCCGCTTCATATATCTTCCCTCTCCAAAGCTGCGTTTTCAATTTTCTCACCGCTTCACTCGCCGGAGTCAAAACTTCCGTCTCACCGGAGATCGCCGAGAACGGTTGGAAAATACTCAACACATGGCTCGCTTTTCAGGTCATACCCACTACAAAAATCGGTATTCCTCAACCATTCGAAGAGCTCTTACTCCATACTTGGCCTTACCCTCCGTTAATCGTCGCCGGAGGTTACAAAAAGCTTTACAATTTCATCAACGATCACGCCGGAGAAGTAATCCGGTTAGGTGAAGAAGAGTTCGGGTTGACCCGAGATGAGACTATCCATAATATCCTCTTCGTATTGGGTTTCAACGCCTACGGGGGCTTTTCCGTCTTTTTACCATCTTTGATCGGGAAAATCGCCGGGGATAATACCGGTTTGCAAGAGAGGCTCAGAACCGAAGTGAGGAAGGTTTGCGGGTCTGGATCCGGGTCGGGTTTGAATTTCCGGACGGTTAACGAAATGGAGCTGGTTAAATCGGTGGTTTACGAAACGCTGCGTTTAAACCCACCCGTGCCTTTACAGTTCGCACGTGCGAGGGAAGATTTTAAGATCAGCTCACACGACGCCGTTTTCGAGGTCAAGAAAGGTGAGCTTCTATGTGGTTACCAGCCACTGGTGATGAGGGACGGTAAAATCTACGAGGATCCGGAGGAATTTAAACCGGACCGGTTTATTGGTCAGACCGGGTCTGAATTGCTTAGTTATCTGTTTTGGTCTAATGGTCCACAAACCGGTACGCCTAGTGAATCGAATAAGCAGTGTGCAGCTAAGGATGTGGTTACGCTCACGGCTTGCTTGATCATTGCTGATTTGTTTCTCCGGTACGATTCGGTTACTGGCGACATGAGCAGTATCAAAACCGTTGTTAAAGCTAAATAAGTAAAAAAAAAATCCTTGGTGATTATGTAATTTAAATCTTCAAAATGAGCTTATATGTTTGGAGTGTATAATAATAAGATTTATATAAAATTGCCAAGTGCGATTATGATAATTTTATTATTAGTGAGTTTGCAATGGTGATGAATGAGCGATCTATCACTTTCACATTTTGGAAACGTTATTTCGTCCCTATTCTTTTACCAATCAGAGGATTTAGCAAGTTTTTTGGGTTTTTACGTTGTTGAAAAGTGATTATGCTTTAAAGTACTCCCTTAGTGTGTTATATAACTTATAAATATAACTAGAAAGAAATGAAACATTTTTACTCTACTAAAACCAACTTTTAAACATTTTAGAATCTTCAGTGTAATTTTTATTTAGTTTCAATTCCTTTCGTATTCGATTATTCGATTTTATACTTAAAAAAATATTACATTATTCTTGGTACTACGCTATATAACTAACCTTAAAAATAAATAATATATTTTATCACACATGTTTAAGAAAATGATATTATGTAAGAATAAAATAATGTGTTTAGTGTATAAAATACCATAATGTGTTTTAGGACTGGTAATTTATTTTCTCACGAAAGCTATCTGTAACTATATATGTTGTCCTAACTAAAACATCTTTATTTATCTCTGAAAACAAAGTTTGAAACTTATATTTTTCTGATTTGAAAGTTAAGAACCTATATTACCCCAAAAACATTAGTTCAATATATGAAAACCCACAAATATCAGTCTTAGTTGGTTTACTGTTTTGGGATCGGGTCTGTTCGGATGGGATCCTTTATGGATTGTATTTTTAGGTTTGGTTAGAATCAAATTTTAATTTAATTTAGTATCAGGTTTGGTCGGTTTGGTTTGTAAACAATAACCGATAAAATTGAGTGTGAGC